CTCACCCCAAATGCGCTCCTCACACCCTGCCTGCCTCTCCAATGCCTGATGAAAACCGCCCAACAGCAACTCCAAAATGAAATATGAAAGGATTACCAGATGGGAAATGGAACTTAATGAGGCCGCACCTGGCTGAAGCCCTGTCTCAAGATATGATGTCACGGTCAGGAACCCAAACTGCCTTAGGAGGAGAGATTTTCCATCTCATTCCATGTCCAGATGAGCAGGAAAACATATGTCCTACATGCTAAAGCCCCAGTGGCCAAAGTGGGAAAACCTGGGCTGTGCAGAGTGAGGTGCTCTCAGTTGGTGTGAGACTCTGGTGGTTGTCTTTTAAAGACAATTTCAGAATCAGATGTCAGACTGCATGAGGCTAGTAAAAAAAAAAAAAAAAAGTTGATGACTTTAAGCTTCTTAATGAGCCCTGCTGGGAAAGGATTAGAGAAAGTCAATGAATCCAATTAGGGGAGGTTTCACTTCTCCCTGAACTTGAATGGAAGGGGGAAACTTCAGCAAGGAGCCTACAGGATGCGAGCATGGCTCTGGAGCTTGCTGGCAGATTTCCAACCCCAGCGCTTTCCGCTGACCTGTTGTGTTCCTTCACTCCGCTGCACCTCAGCTGACTCATCTGTGCAGGGGGTTAACAGTGTCTGCCTTGCATGGTTGCTGGGGGATTAAATGAATGGATATATGTAAGATCCTTACAATAGCGTCAGGCACAAGTGCCGGATAAATGCAAAATTCTGGCTTCATTTTCGTATCATATCCTCTGGTCTAATCTTTATTTCCCTTCTGCTCTGATTTTTAAGTCTCTATAATTTTTAAAACTTGCAAAGTATGTGTTTTTGTCAGCTCCCCCAAGGTCTTCATAGAATGAAGCAGGGTCGAAGCAGAGGCACTCATGTTAGCTACTATCTGCTGAATGTTAACTCTGTGTTCAGAGTACCCCAGGGTGGCTGGGGCTTAGCTTGGTGTAGGGAGAGAGGGAGCTACCAGGGCCTGCAAGGGCCTCTTTGGGGAAGGCCACACAGGGAGCTAAGGAGTTCAACTTGATCCTCAGAGCAAGGGCCCTGCTTGTAGGCTGAAACCAGGACATGGAAAAATCAGGTCAACTTTGGGAAGCTCACTTGGTGCTCCTGAGGGGGCCTGGGGTCTCCTGGAGGGCGAGAGCCCTGTGGCAAGGCCAGAGTGAGGGGGGGGCAGAAGCCAAACCAAGGCACAGCTGCAGAGCCAGCGTCATGGGCGTGTGACTTGTGGGGTCACACAGGGCCGCATGCTCAGGGGGGTCCGTGCTTAGCTTAATGCTCTGCTGCCGCCATCCTGAAATTCATATACTTTTCCAATGACGGGTTCTGCATTTTCATGTTGCACTAAACCCCACAAAATTATGTAGCCAGCCCTACCTTGCAGAGCCATCTCACTAACCCCTACATCCACCCTACCAGGTGAGCCAGTGAAGGTTACCATCCCTCTTCAAAATGAAGGAACAGAGACTCAATGAAGGTAAGTCAACTGTCCCAGGGTGCAGCTGGTCAATGGCAGGGCAGCAGCACAGCCAGGTCTTGGGGTTTGAACTCAGGGGCCTTCTTGCAAGTAGTGCTCAGGCTCCCATGGGACTGGGCTGCAAGAACTGCTCCCCCTTCACCTAGTGCAAGCTGAGCGAGAGGGAGCAGGTGCTACTGACCCCTGCCAACCGGAACTGGGTACGGTTAGGGCCAACGCCCACGGATCTGGGTCACAAGGCCAGTTCCCCAACTGCACACCAGCGATTAATGAAACAATTCAACAGGAGCAAAGCAAACATAGTGCTCTTTGAAGGCCCAGGGGCCCTTCTCTGCATGCTGCCTCCTCCACGCCCCCAACAATTTAGAGAGAGCAAATTCAAAGAAGGATGGGCGGGGGTGGGGGGGGTGGGGAATTCTCCATCAAGAGCCGAAAATCTGCCCAGTGAAGGAAGAACTGGCATACCAAATCACACCATGAACTCTGGCTACCTCAACAGACTCTGGGAGGTATTTCTAAGGGGGAAGTTTTAGGCACTGGAGTTACACTACTGAATAAAACAGATAAAATCTTTGCCCTAGGGAGCTCAAGTTTTAGTGTGAGGGAGAAAGAGAGCAGACATAATAATTAAGTGAATTATATAGTGTAAGGAAATACAAGTGCTTTAGTGAAATAACACAAATAATGAAAATAGCGGCCAAGATTTATGGGGTGCTTACTCTGTCTAAATATTTTACACACACTGACTCATTTAATCCTCTCACCAATGGGTACTGTCATCCCCATTTCACAGAGAGGAAAACACACAGGAGGTAAGCCACACAAGGTCCCACAAGCAATAAGAAAACAAGAAGTGTTGTTAAGAAAGGGCAGAAGATGGCGATTTCCCCCCACTCCTGATTTTGTTTTGTTCTAAAGAGAGCATTTTGATTTGTTTAAAGAGAGGTTTTCTTCTCCTAGGCCTCGGACTGCAGGAGGGGGTCCAATCACAGTATACCCTCTCCACTGCCCCATGGTTCCTAAGAGATCTGAAAGGGTGTGGGACCCTCTGAGCTCCTCCAGTTTTATCCCAGAGCTAAAGCTTTGGAGCTAACAGCCCAAGTTCAAATCCCAGCTCTACCAGCTCACCAATATACAGAGTTTCCACTCAGCATCTCCCTTCCTTTTGATTTAAAATGACTGAAACTCCCTCTCACAGGTGACAAGGGAGCAGTGGTCAAGTGTGTGCCCCACAGTACCTGTACCATGGTGGATCCCCCTGTATTTGGGTCATGCATGCCCCCACTCCTGGGACTCCACCACAATGCCCTCCTTCCTTCTCTCCAGAGCCAAGGGCAGGCCCATGTCACCCAGCTCTGCACCATGGGGTACGTGGCAGAGGGCAGCACAGCAAATAATGAATGAACACTGAAGAGGAAGGTGTGGGGGGCAGTGGAACCTTCTTTAGACCCTGAGCCTTGGAGTTAACAGATCTTAAAAAGTTACTAGGCTTGTGCAGGTTACTAGGCACAAATAGCTCATTTTCCAAAAGGCAAATGCAAAGTGGTGAATCTATTCTCACCATTCTGTGGTGAGCTCCAGTCTTTAGGAAAATTTCATTAAAGCACCTTGTTATGCTGGGAACCCATAGTACCTGGACACTCTAAACCTCCAACTCAAAGGGCACCAGGTCAGGAGCTGTGTGTGACTCGAGACTGTAGCCCACCCTTCAGTATAGCTCCCATGAGAACCAGGGATGTCCTTCAGCCATGGAGCCTCAACTTCTTCTTAAGATGGGGGTTTAGGTGCAGAGTGAAGGGTTTACATGACCAAATGCAGTGGTTTCCCTAACAAGGCCCAAATCACCAGAATCTACTGAATCATGTGGGGAGAGAGGGGAGGTACAGGAATCTTTCTTTATGATTAGCCTGAGTGAGGGGAGGCTTTGTGGAAACAGGAATCAACATGCCAGCCACAACTCGCATGGCCTGGATGTTAACTGTCAGTTCGAGGCAAGAACTGCTCCTGAATCCCATCAAAGACGCTTTCCTTGTTCAAAACTGCCCTGGGTCTGCAACCATTTGTCCGAGACCCTAGTGTCAGCCTCAGGGCTGCACGGATGGGGCAGGGAAGGTGTCAGATGTTTGCTAGATGGCACTGGTACCCAAGACAAGCTGGAGTACCACGTCAGCCAGTGCAAGAGGACCAGGGCCAATGTCCTCTCCAGGCCTACCCTCTCCATGCCCACATGGAGGTCACTGCCAGGCTTTCTTCCTGGGAAGGCTGTCACTTTAGCCTGACTTAGACATACCTGTGGGGAGGAAAGCAGGCAGGGATTGAGGGCTTGCTCCTGTGAGGTAGGCACCAGAATCCCTATTTTTTGGATGAGGAAATGGCCTCATGGAGAAGCTCCTCAGTACTAACATCCTACTTCTGTGCTCTATAACCTACCAGGCTCTGGGTTAATCACTACTCATGCACTCAGGCCTCATGGGTGAGGACCTTATTTTTAGCCCCAATCTGCAGGTGGTGAAACTCAGAGACACTGAGAAGACTCAGACACTTGCTCAGGTCATGCAGCTGAGCACCTTAAGGGAGGTCTGAACACAGAGCCTTTGCCCCTAACTTCTAGCATATACTGCTCAGTAAGGGGCAGAACCAGGATTCTAATCCAGCTCGTCCCCATGCTAAAGCCCCACTATCTCCCTGGCCAGGCACCCACAGTGTGGCTGCCTCAGGCTAGGACATCCCCTGGGGCTCAAGGGAAACTCTGGTGAAGACCCCTTTCTGGGCAGGCTTCGAGCACAACATGGAATACGAGGCAGCTGGACCCCACAAAGGACCCATTGTGGTGACTGCAGAAAGCCAAGGCCAAATGAGGATGAGCTCTCTGTGGAGCCCTGCCCAAGCTCCTGGTCTCCTGCCCTACCCATGGTGCCCCCAAACCCAAAGAACAGGGCCTGGACTGGCAGACGAACAGGCCTCCTGTTCCTCCTGGGCTGGAGCAGCCTCAGCCTATGGAAACCTAAAACCATCCTCCAGCTGCTAGGAGGCAGGATGGGGCTGCAGACCCCTGTGGGTCCCTGGGGACTCACGGGAGGTGCCTGGACGCACCTGTCAGCAGGGACGGGGTCCACAAAAGGAGGCTCTGTGGAGGGCAGAAGGATGGCTTGTTTGCTCCCTTCTGGGAGAAGGAGTTAGCTTCCCAGTATGGAGACTGTGGGATGAGGGTTTGCAAGATGTTAAGGGCAGGCTGGGGAGGGGGCTCACTGGAGGGAAGGGGTGGGACGGCCCGGGAGGTGGGTGACTTAGCCACCAGCTGCACGAAGGGGCCCTGCATTGCTCTGGCCAGTTCTGTGTGCAGCAGGGGACAGACCGGGGTCCCCAGTGACCTGCCGAGGCATGCACAGGGCGGGGGGTATCGCTTCTGCGTGCCTGGTTGGAGGGGTCCACGATGCGTCCGTTTACTCCCTGTGCCCTCAGAGGGGGTTCCCCGTGGCCTGGGGCTCCACACTCACCTCCTGAAGTCAAAGGGCATCGTGCCGCCGCCGCCGGGGGTGGGACCGCTGCAGGCCAGGTGGGCCGCGGCGCCGCGTGGGTCCCAGCCCGCTGCCAACGCCTCCACAACCCCCGCCGGCCGTCCCCAGACACCCGCCGCTAGCCTCCCGCCGCCGGGAAGTGACGCTCCACGCAGCCCATTGGGCGCCGGCCGCCGCCCCCGGCCGCCCCTTCCGCCGCCCGGTTAAAGGGGCCCGCGGGCCAGGAGGGGGAGGGGCGGGCCTTTTGGGGTCCAGGCTCTTGGAGGCGAAGCGAGTCCCCCATGATGCATTCGTTCCTTCCAAGCCCCCCACTGTGTTTTCCAGTACTCTCTCTCCGTGTGGCCTCGGGCAAATCTCAGAGCCTCCGTTTTTTCATTTGTAAAACAGCTCATTTGAGTTGTGAAGATGAGGTGGAATGGCCCAGAGCTGGGCGGTGCACAGCACGTAGCTCTGAGTAACGGCCTCACGCTGGCCGGGAAGGGAGGAGGTCGGCAGCCCTAGATTTGTAAAGGAGACCCACCACTCCCCGCCTGTGGGCCTCTGAGAAAGGCAGCTGGCTTTCCCCCAACCCCCCGCCCTTTCCACTCTGCACAAAGAAGATGATGACAATTACTTGCGGGACTTTTTCCTGGGCATCAAATGCGAGAGTTCGGAGACTAGCTTAGTGCAGTGCCTGGCCCTAGTAAGGGCTAAGTCTCCTGAAGCTATTGTGGTTGGCCCGGTAGCTGTCTGGTGTTTCCATGTTCCACCTGTGGTTCATTCCAGTGATAGTTATTGAGAGCTGGTCCCAAGCCAGGTCCACCCAGGCCATGCTGGCTGTCTCAGAGGTGACTGAGAACTGCTCTGTGACTTGGTCCAGGGCAGACCTCTAGGAGCCTCAATTACCAGCTGTGAAATTCACAAGCAATTTCCCTCAGGATTGGTGAATTACGAGATAGTAGTTGAGGTAACACAGACCCATACACAGGAAACGCACTGTGAACTTCCCTTGAGGGATCTGTCACTGGCCCCACCTCCAAAGTTGTGGTGACACAGGGCTTGAAACATCCCCAGGAGAGGAAAGTGGGGGCTCGTGTTTTAAAAGCAGATCCAGAGAGCAATTTCCTCTTCTATAAATAGAGGGAAATCACCATACCTGTTCCTCTGGGAGGATTCAGAACGCACAGTGATAGCACTGGGTCTGGTGTGCGGGTGGCAATCCAAACGCTTCCCCTGAAGCATACATCATGGCTTGATCTGCCTCTCCCTCCCTCTGACCAACAGCATTCCCTGTTCATTCAATCGTTCATTCGTTCATTCATTCATTCATTCATTCATTCAAGTGGCCTGGCCCTTTGAGGCAAGGGAAGGAAATCTGAGCTTGAACTAGAACCCATGGCAGCAGGGAAGGCGAAGGGGCCTTGAGTGGCCCGACACTGGACCCAACGACTCTTTACTGGCCCTGTGTGGGAGGGCCATGCACTGGAAGTCATGACCCCATGTTCTCCCTTCTCAAAATGCAGTCCAAAGTCTGTGATGGTGGTCCACAGGCCAGCTGCTTGGCCATCATGGAGCAGATTCCGGGCTCCATCCCAGACCTATCTAATCCGGTGAGCGCGTTTAGCAAAGCATCCTAAGAGATTTGTTGGCACATTTAAATTTGAAAGGCACTGCTGTAAAGGATCTTGCTCCCAGAGAGAGGGGGCTGGGGAAGGAGGTTGGGGAGGGAGATTTTGCATCTGTTCTTCCTTTGGGTTGGAGCACTTCCCTCTATCTCTGGCCCTGCTGTGGCAGAGAATGCACATGTCTCCCAGTAGCCATTCTCCCTTTCTCCATAACTGTGGACTATGTGAAAAGAGCCCACACTCTGGAGCCAAACTGCATGGGTTCATCTTCCAGCTTATCCACTTGCTAACCTATTTCACCTCTGTACCTCAGTTTCCTCAGTTGTAAAATAGGGGCAATAAGGGTACCTTTCTCAAAGATCTGTTATGAGGATGAAAAGTGTTGCTGTATGTCATGGACTTAGGACAGTGCTGAGCACAGTAAATATAAGATAGAGTGGGCTATCGTTGCTATTTTTGTATGGTGATGGAGCTCCCAATTTGTCACTGGGCCTATGGATGTTCAGAATGAAAGCTACATTTCCCAGCTTCCTTTGCAGCTAGGTGTGGCTGTGTGACTAAATTCTGTCCATTGAGATGTAAGAGGCAGCTTCAGGGACAGTTAATGTATATTACCTTCTGTGTCCCTTTCTCCATCTGGCTGCCCAGAATGTGAATGTCAGCATCCTGAACCATATAGGGAGGACTACACAGAGCAGAGCAACAAGATAGAAGGAGACTGGGTCTCTGCCACTGAGTGGCACAGTACCTGTCCTCAGACACCTATGCAGACCTCTAAGTAAGAGAGAAATAAACATCTATCTTTTTAAGCTACTGTTAGTTTGGATTTTCAGACACTTGTACTTAAGCCTAATGCTAATAGACCTGCCCAAACTAGTTAATTACTTGACTTGGCTGAAATCCCATATGCAGAATAAGCCAGGTCCCCCATTATATGCTCACATGGTACCCTGTAGTTTTCCTTAGGAGAACAAGTCATAATTTGTGATTATATTATTATTAACTGGCCAATGTGTGCTTCCTGTCTTGACTGGAAGCTCTCCAGGGAGGATGATGTCTGTTCACTGTTGTATCCCAGCAGCACCAGAGCCTGCATGTGATAGGAGTGTAGTAAATATGTGCTGAAGGCTGGATGGAGGCTTCCCAGGGAGGCAGGCCTCCCACAAAACAGAGAGGATGGGGAGGGGTCACATCAACAAGGATCTCTGTGTGAACTGTTGAGGTCTGTAAGCAGACCAGGATGCCAGTACCAGATGGCCATCCACCCAAAAGACAGTGGGAGTTGGAGCTAAGGGTCGTGTGCTATAATATGAGGGGAAGCTCTGGGGCTCTGACCAGAGGAGTGACTTAATACAAGTTGAGTTTTAGGATCACTAACCTTGTGGGACCCTGTGGTAGGCAGCCTCCAGTGACCCTCATCTCTTGCACTTGTGTAATCACCTCCCACAATGAAAAGGACTGACCTGGGTAACCAGTAGGACATTGCAGAAATGACAGTGTATGACTCCTGAGGATAGATCATAGAGCACATTGAGTCTTCTGCTTAGGCTCTCTTGAATCACTTTTCCAGAGGAAGCCAGTTTCAGTGTCATAAAGATATTCAAGCACCTTTATAGATGGGTCCATGTGGGGAGGAGTGAGGCCTCCGGCCAACATCATGTGAGGTGCCATCCTGGAAGTGGGTCCTTGGCCCCCGCAAAGTCTTCTAAGCTGCAGTTCTGGCCTGCAGCTTAACAATACCCTCCTGAGAGTCCCTGAGCCAGAATCACCCAGCCTAGCTGCTCCTTTTTATTATATTTTTTATTAAGGTATCATTGATATAACTCTTATGAAGGTTTCACAAGAAGAAGAATGTGGTTATTACATTCACCTTTATTATTGAGTCTACCCCCATATCCCATTGCCGTCACTGTCCATCAGCTTAGTAAGATGCCACAGAGTCCCTATTTGTCTTCTCTGAGCTACACTGTCTCCCCCATGACCCCACAAAACCATGTGCACCAATCATGATACCACACAGGATATTCCTGATCCTTAGAAGCTATATGAGACAATAAACACTTATTTTAAGCCACTAAGTTGTGGGTAATCAGTTACCAATAAAATCAGCAGCAAATAATTAACATAGACTCTATCCCCTTCTAACACCTTCTGCCAGCCTTCCTCTACCTCACCCCCCTCCAGTCTAATGAAGCAGAAAACCACTTTAGTTAGACAACACTCTAGTGACTTGGACACGCTGCTTAACTAACTGGGTGTCTGAATATGAAATGAAGGACAACAATAACTTACCTGGGGCAGGTTTTTAAAATCACCACCCTAATTAATCCACCTCCTGGTATTCATACCCTTAGAGTGTAGGCTGGACTTAACTGGCTCTTGCTTCTAATGAACAGAATATGGCAGAAGTGATGGCACGTTGCTCCTAAGACTAAGTTACAAAAAGGTTGTGGCTTCTGTCTTGAACCCTCTTGCCATCTCTCAGACCAATTGTCCTGGGCAGGCCGTGTTGTGATGCATCCCTGTGGAGAGGCCCATGGGAGTGAGCTTGCAAGTCACTCTTCTGAGGCCTGACAACAGCCACACATTCACATGGAAATGGATCCTTCAGCCTCAGTTGAGCTTTGAGGTGACTGCAGCCCTAGTGGACAGCTTGACTGCCACTTCATGGGAGACAGTGACCCAGAGTCATCTACCTGAGCTGCACCTGAATCTTGTGAGATAAATGTTTTTTGTTTGAAGCCACTAAGTTTGGGGTAATTTGAGTAACAAATACACTGCCCTAAAAGCTTGCTGCGAAGGTGAAGAAATGTGTACAGTGCCTAGCACACAGTAGGTCCTAGTGAATGCTTGCTGAATGAATCAATGAATAAACAAATGAATGTTCTAGAATATAGAGTGTTCCCTGAACCCTATGCTCATGTACCTCCACCTCATCCTGCCAAACATGTCACTGAAAGTTGTTTTACTCAGGGGAATGGCAGGCTCAGATTTATTTTTCTGTAATGAGAGACTGGTGTGTGTCCCATAGGTGTGACTGGTTCAGCTGTGGTCTGGCTGCAGTGAGATTAAGAAATAATAATCTTTTGTCAGCTCAGAGAGGTCTTGAGGGTGACTTGGACCTCTGAGAACATAACTCTCCTTTATTGCTCTACTAGAGTCTCCTGACCAACAAGGAGACTCTTATTCATTCATTCGTTATAAGTTATTCACTGAACACCTCTGTGTGACAGGCCTTCTGGATGTAGAAATGAACATGATGCACCCTGTTTTCAAGAAGCAGAGAGGAGGTGAGCAAAAGTGTGGTGCCAATAAAAAACGTCATGACAGGGGCTACCCATTCCTTGTGCAGATCTGTTTGTGTAGTAAGGGAGGTGGTAAGGGTGGCAGCAGAGGTTCTGGGTGGCCAGGAGGGGGTCCCTGATTCCACCTACATGGATGATGGGTTGGTCCGAACCCCTTCAGCTGAAGGTGACAGAAATCATTTCAAACCAGAGCACACTGTCTCAGGCAAACAGCAACAATGACAACAAGCCCTCCAG